AATGGTATTTTAGAAAGAAAAGTCAACATAACACAAATTTTTATTTTGGAAGGAAGTTGAATCCACACATATACAAGAAAAACATACAAACTCCATGCAGAAAGACCCCAATGTGGGACTTGAGTCTTGTAGTTTCTTGCTGCACCCAAAACTTGCTTTTAAAATTGATTTATTAAATGATCATTTATTTAAGGAGAAAAGGATTAAGTTACATCAACAAAAGCCCAAAATTAATATACAAGATGTGTGAATATTGAGAGAAAATAAACTTCTATCTGGTAGTGTTAAAAATTAGAATTTTTATTGTACTTTTTGAGAAAAAATTATATATTTATAATTTTATAGTTCACAAAATTATATTTTTCTCCCAAAAAATTAATTACCTTAATCTTTATTGAAAGTTTTGCACACACAGTCTTTTTTTTCTTGGTCAGAGCTGCAACTTGGACCTGATTAAGCTCAAGAAACCAAAACAGCTTCACGTCTTTTTTTGGTGCTGACGTCAGAACATGCTGTGCTCTGATTGGACGCCTGTGTATCAGTTTAAAACACACCCCCGTCAAGCTGAGCGCCAGCTGAAAAGTCACAGCGCGAGCGCCACTCCGGGCTGCTGCTGGACACCTGTTGCCAAGGAAACTGAAACGGGCGGGAAAATTACCAGTTAATGACGTGAAAAAGGTAAATTACTTTTTGTTTTGCTTTGTTTACCGCCATTTTGATTTTTATGTTTTCAAAAAGTTTGGAATTTATATCCTACATTTTACTTTTTAAACACATTTTTAGTTTCTTGAGGTTTATTTTTACTGTAAATATAACAATCTTATCTTATATCTATTACAAAAAAATAAGTTTAAATTTTAAAAAGAAAAACAGTGTTTTAGAAGAAACATATGGAATTATAGTCTTGAAAACATTTAATTTCTCATCCTACGCTATTTTTAGAACATGCTTAAATTTGTATTTTTGTGTCCATGAACTCTTAACTCTGACATATGCAGTCTCAAACATGTATACGCTGTGTAAGGTTTTTTCATCAGCAGGTCACATGTGTTTTTGTTGTGTACACTGTTCTGAAGGTCAAACTCACCAAGAACAGACTTCACTGGTGTTTGTTGCAGAGAGTTTTAGTCTAAATATATCAGCAGCAGCTGATCTTCTATCAGAGTTTTGACCTGGCCAGGTAAAATATAGATCACATCACCAGAAAATGGGAGAAATTTGACATTTTCATATATGAAATTAGTTTCATATACAGATTTTAAACTCTAAAGTCAATTGAAATTGTTTAATTTGGATATTTTGAATTTTTCCTTGGGGGAATTACAGGTCAAGCTGAGTATTTATAGAACCGAGCCTGTTGTGGGTGACAGATAGAGAAAGGAAGGAGCCTCACAGCTATTTGTGGACCACAGACATACACAGTAGGATTAATGGTCACTGGAGTATCAGGAATGTAATTCATGTTAATGTCAATAATTTGGAAGATTTATATTACCAATCTGAGGCCAACAGCTTAAGCCCTCTTTCATCTTTCCCTAAATATGCAAAGGTTGGAGACTAATAAACGGTAATGACAGTGACATAGCGTATATGTTTTTCAGAACTCTGCGTGTTGCCCAGGTTTAATTTCTACATCTAATATCTCTGCAGCTGTTAAGGACAGTCAGTCATGTCGTCTCCTGTGCTGCTTAACCTGCTGCGCTGCGCCCGCTTCTCCTTGTGCAGACAAACCCTCTTTGGTCTGGAAGCCTCCACACAGTCTGGACAGGTGAATCCGTCTACACAGGTCTATTGGCTAGCAATTAACATTACTAAAATGGCATGACAGTAAACATTGACTTATTTCAACAAAGAATGTGGATCTTATTCTTCCTTGCCTCTACTGTAGCCCATAAAGGATAATATGAACACTCACGTTAGAGGAAACTTTCTAGCCTTTGCAGTTGTAATAGCTTTCCTTAGAGAGCAAAAAGATAGGATGCAGACTCTAACTTCATCACTACATGTCAGAAAGTACTGCATTTGATCCTTGAAGAGTTAAGGTACCTTCACTGTACAAAGATTTGCTGAATAGCTAGCTAGTGGTTGGTATTCACAGGGTACTTACATGGTACATACAGGTACTACTGCGTACCTTCTGGTACTTATGTGGCACCTATATGTGACATTTACATTTGCACACTTGGATGGCTTCATAAGTGGTACTAAGGATTCTTGATTATTTATTGGCCATCGACAGGATACATGAAGCCTTCTGGGTCACTACAGGGATCGTATTCCCTTGCTTGTTGCCCAGTTCTTACATGCTACTATTAGAGCACCTGCTGAATACACTGCTGCAGAGTAACATTATGGGTATCTGGGGTACATCTGAGATATCCGTGGAATAAAAAGACGAAAACCTAAAGTGTCCTTTTGGGATACCATAGGGTACCTGCATGGTACTATCAGATTTGACGTCTTACCCTCCTAATGCCAGTACTTACATGTTGCTACTATTAATTCAAACTTACTGTATGGTATTTAAAGTTTATTTTCTAAATATTTGCTGAATGCTTAAGAAACTCGTACTGGTTACTTTTGGACCAGGTTGGTGGACCGTTGTTGGGGCTGGTGGGTGTGCGACGGGCCAGTGGGTCGATCAGGTTCGACAGTGATAGCAGTGGCCAGCCAGTGACCTGGGACTCGTTTGGTATTTGGGATAACCGGATAGAAGAACCAATATTACTGCCTTCCAGTATCCGCTATGGAAAACCCATTCCACAGGTAAGCTGGCCATTGGATTAATGAAGAAATGGTTGAAGTAATTTCTAATTAGAGTTAATAAAACAACATTTAAAAGGATGGATGTACAAAACAACGTGAAAGTGAGGATAGCTTTGTTGGTGTATTCCTCTCAGATCAGCCTGTCTCGGGTGGGCAGTGCGTCTGTTTTGGGTCTCCGGAAGCAGAATGAGGACCGACTCCGTATTGCCCGTGTCCATGACAACCTGCTGTACTTCGCCGTGTTTGACGGTCATGGCGGCCCGCATGCTGCCGACTACTGCTGCACCTTCATGGAGAAATTCATCAGGTTGAATGAATTTTCTTCAGTACTCTTTAAAGGCAGACATCTTAACCAACACGTTTCATAAACTCTCGGGTTTCTCATTTTAGAGACGCTTTGGAAGAGGAAGATGATCTTGAGAAAGTTTTAAAGAAAGCTTTCTTAGAAGCTGATAATGCTTTACGCACACACCTGAGCTACTTCAACAACGGTAAAGCTCTGTGCTAAATTACTTACTAAACGAGCCCTATTTTTTAAAATGAACCTTTATATTAGGCATTATAATCTAATTCTGCACTGAACTTTGAATTGCTAGGCAGTAATGCTTCAATCTTTGCCTCTCTTCCATCCCAGACTCAGTTCTGAGGTCAGGAACAACAGCAACAGTTGCTCTGCTACATGACGGCATTGAGCTGGTGGTTGCCAGCGTTGGTGACAGTCGGGCGATGCTGTGCAGGAAGGGACATGCCAACAAGCTCACCAAAGACCATACACCAGACCGCAAAGACGAGAGGAAACGGTACCTGAGTCCTTTTAGTACTACTGTGGTACCTACCTTTAAGAACGTTCTATGCAGTCTTTTTAGTACTTATTTGAGGACTTACTATGTGCCTGTGGGGTACTTACATCATATCAACAAGGTATTTATAGAGTACTCAAAGTATTAATGGCATACCTCCAGGCCACGTATGAAGTATCAATAGGGTATCTATATAATTTTTACTGAGTTCCTTTGAAATACCTACAGAGTACTTAAAAAGTACCAATATAGTTGGTTTTAGTTGCTACTTATTGGATATCAATGGGGTACTTCCAGGACTCTTATAAGTTATCAAAGGAGTGGGATGCTTGCTGGGATACCAACAGGGCATAAATGAAGTACCAATGGGGTATTTATGGGGTGCCTGCATATTAGGGTTTATTCCAACTATCAGACCCTTACTAGATGCTCACACCTGACACACATGATGCTCAAGGTTGCAAAGAGAGTTGCGAGCTTTGCAATGAAAGAAGAGAAACCTAGGACTGGGGAAAATGATTGATGGTAACTGACATCATCTTCAGAATATTTTACAGTAACATTCCCGTCAATAGCAGAAAATATACTGGGTACCAACTGACTCGTTTCCACTGAGCGGTATGGCAAAGATTGGTGCGGTTTGATGTGCCATTTTGTAGCATATCCAGGAGATTGTTTTCACTAGTTGGACTCTCACTAACAAGGCATAGTTTAACGAGGCACCAGCGGTGGGAAGTAACTTAGTACAAGTACTTCGTTACTGTACTTAAGTACAATTTTCGTCTATCTGTACTTTACTTAAGTAGATTTAATAATGGATACTTTCTACTTTTACTCCACTACATTTTACAGTAAGTATCTGTACTTTCTACTTCACTACATTTCTACAAAAGTGTCGCGTTACTCGTTACATCCAAGTCGCACTGCTCTCTTTTTGTCCGTTAAAATGTGAAGTTCAAGGACTTAAGGTGGCGCCGTAAAATCCAAGCAATAACGTGACTTAGTGTCTGTTGTCACCCATCGCCTCCACCTTTACGCACGCGGAGCTCCAGACATGCGCAGTGGTTTCCTCTGAGCGGGAGAAGATGTCTGTCTAATCGTCAGTAATATAATAGCGCTGCATAAATCATAGATATATGGTGACATGTAAAATAAGCACCGCTTCACTTTCACAGAAGGTGAAGGACTTACTTCAACTTNCACACACACACACACACACACACACACACAGAGTAGTGTTTTTGTATCTTGCAGGGACTTAACATTGACTTCCATTCATTTTCTACAACCTAACCCTTACCCTACTCCTATCCATCACATACCTAACTCCTAACCTAAAAACAGCATTTCTCCTCATGGGGAACAAGAAAATGTTCCCACAACGAATGTAGATGCAAATAGGACACCACAAGGATATAAAAACTGGGTTCATGCACACACGTTTGCGTGGCTATCTTTGTGGGGACTTTCCATTGACTTCCATTCATTTCTACAGCCGAAACCTTACCCTTATTCTAACCTTAACCAAAACTAAGTTCACACCTTAGACCTAAATCTAACCCCTGACCCCAAAACAGCGTTTCCCCTTGTGGGGACCAGGCTTCAGTCCCCACAATGAGCAGCGGGTTCCCACAAACCCACACACACACACGCACACACTCTTTACCTAAATTCCTGAGTAATGAGAGAGGCAGGATAACAATAACAGAGACCAGAATCACAAGGTAATCTCCATTGACGTACCATTCACTGAAACACACAAATACATTTTTAAATTGATAGAATAACATATGTGACAGAATCTGATGAGGAAAAAATAGTTAATTTTATCTGGACACTGAAAACAAGAATATGTTAGAATCTTTATTTTAAGTTTAGTTTTTAGTTTAGTTTTTAGTTTAGGTCTGTTTCGATCAGGCTCATATGTCAGATTAAAGTATCTTTTAAAAATAAATTTCAAACAGGTGTTAAAGGTGCTTTTAATCAAGACTACATTTTTGTAATTTTTTTTAAAATTGGTCCTGTATTTCAAATTGTCATCTCTCCCACTCTTCCTAAGCACTCTTCTTGCACAGCCTTTAGATAAGACTGACACCCTGTGGACATGCTGCTTTGGTTACACAGCATAACAAATGATCAAAATAAAAAATAAAAAAGTTCCATCTGCACACTATCCAAAACTAGTCTGCCAAAAAGAAAAAATTAAAGGTTTCAAAGAGAGAGAGAGAAAAAAAATCTGAATATAAGTAACGGAGCAACTCCAACATGCTGCCGGCGTGAGCAGCACAATTATAAAATGTCACTTTATAATTAACATTTATTTTGTACCTGAAAATTTCAGCTTAACTAAAACTGCAAAGGTATTAAGTATAAAATGATGAAATTTACAGCAACCATGTAATTACTAAGAACCAATTCTGCTATTTCTTTGTTTTGTCAATGTTTTCAGTCGTTAAAATGACCAAATATCTCGCTACTCACCCATCATTTGCTCCAGTAAAGGACTGAATTACAATGGGGAATTCCTTTTTGATAATGTAGAGGTAGCTTGACATGGCTGAAAAAAACAAAAAAGAAAGAAGAGAAAACAGTAGTTATCAAAGTGCTTAAAATAAATTTACACATAAAAAGAGTTGTCTAATATTTCAGGAGCTAAAAAAATCACAGGGCACTGAAAAGAATAATAAATTATTTTACTAAAGGCTGCATCCTGAAACACCTGTTGGAGCCTGTCCTCCCAGTTTGGACAATGTTTGAGTTAAATAAAGCATGGTGGATGAATGTAAGGATCATAGTTACAGTACACAGCCCTCATAAAAACATATTTTACTACTTAAAGGGCAGTATTATGTATAAACAACATTTCTAGTTAAAAAGTTAATGTTAAAAAGTTATTCTCTCATCAAAAAGAGAGGAGAAAACTGGACTGTTGCTTTGATTATTTCATGTGCGTTTGAAAAATCCTTTCATCTCCATGGCAACTGTTAAGCTGTGCAAAACGCCTGGGTGGACCTAGCCCCGCCTTTGAAGATGAAACACCTCCTCTGAGCTGCAGTCTTCACGCTTCCCAGGTTCCGCATCACAGAGCAACCCTTCCCCAATCAGTTCCTTCAGACTAGCTAGCAACAATTAGCAAACACCTTGTGGAGCTGCACATCTGATGAGCTCATTGTAGGAGCTTCTTCCAAGTAAAACACTGGTAAAAACATTGTTAAAAGGTGAATGGAGGAGCCATGTTCTGACGACTTCCGGAGTATCAAAAAGAGAAAGAATTTCTTAAAAGAGACAGAGGCCCAATTTCATTAAATTATGACGTCGGATGTCTTTTAAGTTATGTTTGATATGTAGCATTTTTTATAGCAACTGAAGGTAACAGTTACGTGATTCGGCTATAAAGCTATAAAACACAATCATGTTGCTGGAAAACATGGTCAGTCCCTCACCTCCAATGTTCTGCATGGTGATGGAGCAGGAAGCAGCCAGTTTGCCTGGGATCCCAAAGGCCTTGTAACCCAGTGACTCGTAAACAAGAGCACCTGGAAAAAGAGGAAAAAACCCAAAGAGTTTTAAATCTTGACATTTAAATGTGAACAAACATGAAAAGTTGCTGGAAAGTCAGAGCTGCTGCTCACCTGCTTCATCGGCTGTCTTCAGCAACAAGTGGACAGAATAAATGGAGAAAATGGCAAAGGAAACCAAGAGAAACCTGTAAACACAAGAGAAGGTTTTCAGCTGAAGATGACTTGTGCTTAATGGCAATAAATAAAAAGTGGATCTTTGGTGCTAAATGCTACAAGTTATGTGATAGCTAAATTGTTGCAGTAAGAATTTTTTGCTGATAGCTTATGCTTAAATATATATATTCGTTCCATGGTCGTCTGTTTCCCTGTACGCTCGCCCTCTGTTTTGTCACCTGACCCGTTTTTTGCTGTAAGCTCCTCAGTTTAGTTTTGCACTTGATCATCATTCCTACTAAAAAGACTAGAATAACAAGGACGAGTGAAGAGGAGCCCCTGCAGTTCACTGGTGTTCAGCACCACTGGTGTGCGAACAGTAGCCTCCACAAAGTCGGGCGTACTGGTTTTTATTTCTCATCGAGATCAAAGAGAGAGAAATGAGAGTGAATGTGGGCTGCTGAAGTTCATGATTTTACTCATTTTCACAATTTGTCTTGACTTCATTCCTACATTTAGCTGCTAATTTGCCTTGTATCCTTAGAAAACATAAATAAATAAAAAAGGTGGTATAATTAAACCAGACAAGAGTCATTGTTCACTGCACACCTGCCAGCTGTCTGTGCCACACTGGCACAGACAGCTGTGCACAGACAGCTGTCTGTGCACAGCTGCAGCAGTAACAGAAGTGTTGTTGCTGCTTCACCTGGTTCCTGTTATCATTTCCTCTTATGTCTCTTCTTTCAAGATTAACAGAGTTACAAGAATCCAAGGCACTTCTTGTTATTTAAGCCTGTTTGAGCAGAACAGAGTTACAACAAGTCTTCCAGAGACTGGGGAGCAACGGGATCAACACTTTTAAAGCAACACTTTCCTGAACTCAGCTAAACTAAAAAAGAGGCTTCAGGTTTTAGATGCTAGAAAAGACGAGTGCTTACACAAACAGGGCGATGCCGGTGTTGGCCATGGCGAAGGACAGACCCAGGATGCCGCTGCCCATGATGGCGTTGCCCAGGTTGAAGACGGACATGCTGAAGGAGGCATTGTGCTAAGGAGAAGAAGACAGAGTGTTATCAAAAAAGTGTTAAAAAATAAAAAGAATAAACTTCTTCAGCTTACATATCTAGTTTCATGCTTTTTGCCTGCGTTATGTTTAGGGAGGAAGGTTTGACCGTCTCCGTCTAAATCAGGGTTTTGCCTTTAATAGAAAACAGGAAATTGTGTGTTAAATGAGTTGAGAATACTTAAAAAGTTGTTTTCTGTGTGTGTGTGTGTGTGTTTATTGAGGACATTTTAATACCAGTCTGACCTATTTAGAGGACGGTCAGGGGACGGAAAGTCATTGCTGTTGGACCTGCTGCTGTCATCTTCTCGAGGAGCGTCTGTCATCTCAGAGCTGAAATGTCAAATTGAGGTTCTTATTATTACATTCATTGTAATTCATTGTAATAATCATGAATTGGATATGTATGTTTTTTGTAAAGAGCCTCGAGACTCCAAATGTATCTAATCTGCCTGGTACCAATAGGGTCTAAACGTCTAAACAGTTTGCACGTGGTCAAGTAACAAATTATGCTTTTTTCCAAGAGCAGTAAAAAAAAACCCTGCTGTCAAGCTAAACTAGTTTTCTTACCTTTGTTTGGAGTCCTTAAAATGTTTCCTGCTGATGGAAAAACAAGAATCCTGCTGCTCACAGTTTTCCCACAAAAATGACTTCTTGAAAAATAGGAAGTGAAAGAAACAGAGAATTTAAAGTCATGTGATCTGACTGGAAAAGGATTAGAATTTAACTGTTCAATAAATAACCAACACCTCTCATATCTCTGTTATTCACTGGCTACTGGCAAAGTTTGACATCTGCTGACATCCAGGGGTGGGGTCATGAGGGTCAGGGGGCGGGGCTTTATGTGTCGTCACTACTGGAAACAGTCAAACAACCAAAAAGCAGCAATTAATGAGACCACCGACTAAACTGATTTAAAATATGGATCAAAAACAATGCAGTCGTCATACCCTGGTTTTGTTTTAGTTTTTTTCAGTGTTTGTGTATCTGATTCCTTGCTGTTTTTTTTGTGGTTAGTTTTAGCTTCTGTCTTTACTTTCATCAGACTCTTAGTTGCTGTTTATTATTGAAAGTTAGGTCTGATTATTCTCGTTTCTCTCCCTCAGTCTGCCTTCTGCTCTCCCCTCACAGCTGCACCTGTTTCTAATTAGTTCAGTCCATTGACTTGTAGCCAAGCTTCCATTTTTTAACCTGCTCTCTTTCACTCAGTCCTCGCTAGTTTCTTTCTTTTGATTTATGTTAGCCAGTCTGTTTCCTGGCTCCCTGGGTTGTTTTTAAATTTCTTTATTAAATTTTTATTTTATCATTTTACCTCACGGATTCTTATTTGCAATTTTGTCTAAGCCTCACACTGTGGTGAGTGTTGCTTTTTTGACAAATCAAACATTCTATGTTGCAAGATTCGCATTTAAGCCTCAGTGTGAACAAAAAAAATAAAGGTTTTGAATCTGATCCCAGACGTCTCTAATCATCTTCCTTCATATTATTCATATTGTTCATATTATTGCAATAGTATTTTTGTAATTCAACTCAATTCAAATATACTACGTTGATTCCAATTGGAGCTTAAATATTGTAAGTTGATGTAGTTCAGTAAAAACAGTTTTAAATTTCTTAAATAAACTTTATTTAGTACAAAAAGAAAAAAAAATACAATTTCACAAAGTATATACTGTAACTGCAAATGTACATATTCACATTTCTTGTACCTTCACAGGAAAAAAAAAATACATTCAGAGTCGCTGCTTTATTTCCGCAGATGCAGTCACTGCCTATGTGACCACATTTAAATTCACACAAAGTTTATAAACAGTACTTCCATAAATTCATATTGCAGTTGTTTACTAATCATCTCATAGCAGGTGGCAGAGAAGGAGGCAGTCGGCAGCAGGTTCTTCATCTGGTTATCAATACTTTTTGTTTCCCGTTTCTGATGCTTACAGCTACAGTGTGTCCAATGGAAGTCTGCTGGGACCTTTATGCAACCTCACATACAGACGGTTCACAGCTGATCACATCGTCATCATTGTATGGCTGCTGGCAAACACAAATGAAACTGAACTGGTTCTTTCAAAGAGCAGAAAAAAAAACTTAAAAAAGAAATACATTTAAACTTCAGTAATGATCCTCATAATGCTGCTCTTGTGTAATGCTGTTTACCCCTTGCCTACCAAGATGGCGCATTTCCGGGTTAATTTATTTCCGGTTTGGTGATCATTGATAATTCTGCAGAAATCCCTCCTGTCTATTTCTGTATAATTAGACTGAAGGTTGATTTTGTTGACATTAATACTTTGTGCCCTTTATCTTTGTCTCTCATATAAAGAACTAGGCTCAGTAATTTAGTGTTTTAGTCTTTTTCCTATGGCTGCTGTCAATGTGTCTTTGTTTGTCTTCTTCTGTCTCAGTGTACTGATTTTTTTTAGTTTTCTGAAACTTGTTATTTTAACCTCACTAAAGGATTCTTCTAATCAATAGAAAGTGGTTGCTGTCCACTGTCGCCACATGCTTGCTCAGCATGAGGGATTGCTGCGACGTCACAACTAAGGTTTGAGTTGGTTTAGATAACTTTGATGAATTTGCATCAACTGAACTTGGGTGCTTTGTACTATAACTTGAACTGTGCAGTATGAAACTGGATCTAAAAGAAATGTTATTTGATTCCCTGGAGTTAACTGAATTACAAAGTGTATTTCTATATGTTGCATATCAATTTAGTTTGCTTTCTGAAGTGCATTGAAATGAAATCTGTTGAAAACTGTTTCCATTTATTGTTCTGATAATAAATGGAATTACATTCAGCCGAACTGATGCAGCAACTTTGGATCAAGAGAAAACCTTCTACATGGTGCAGCACAAAATTTTCCCACTACAGAATCTACAGTTTATCAGTTACAGTACCTAATATACAACTAAGGACAGAAATATGAGCAAAACGTGCCAGGCAGCAAACTTAATAACCATTTCAGTTCTGGAGATAGTCTCTAAATGTTTGTAACATAATAAAGAGTTTTTTCAGTTAAATAAATTGAAAAAACATAAACATGATTTGCTCAACCTCTGAAAAAAGTAACAGTTATAGCTACACTTGGAGAAAACTCTTTACAAAACAAAGATTCATTTGACGCTCCAAAATAATTCTCTTCAGTCTTTCAAACAAAGTAGTTCACATGAAAAACACATTTAGTAATCCATTATATTTAAGAAATATATACTGCTTAAATATATAAAAATAGCATATAGTAAGTAAAAATTGTAGGCACACAGGTTCTCAGCAGTAGTAAAGCTGCCACACACAAACAGCAGCGCGAAACTCAAGTCAGACACTCTGGAACTCCTGGTAATGACACTGAGAAAAGTCATCGTAGACATTTTGAATAGGTCCTGTTTAAGTGAAATTGCTTCTATGGAAATAATGATGCAACCATAATTTTGGCGCAGTAAAAACCACCTGTGCTTCAGTAACTCTCCTGGAGCTGGAGATTTAAACGTCTTGGTCCGACACTCTGCTCCACATCCAGTCATAGATGACTCCACTCAAGCTGACAAACATGACGGCCATGCCGAATATCAGGAACATGGTGGCCTGAAACAGGAAATGGTTTCGTAGTTAGTACTGTATATTTTAAGTTTATGAATAACCTGAAAGAACTCCTGCTCTTTCTGAAACCATCACTACATGGCTCCTTTATTAACCCTTTAACAACGTTTTTACCAGCGTTGCTCTGAGAAGTGGTTCATTAATGAGTGCAGTAGAGGCACAGTCCACCAGGTGTTTGCTAATTGCTGATAGCTAGTCTGAAGGAGCTCTGTAGAGCAGAAGCTTGGAAACTGCAGCTCAGAGGAGGAGCTGAGCCTTGAATACGGGGTTAGGTCCACTCAGGTGTTTTGGAGAGCTGAATGGTTGCCACGGGAGATTAAAGGATTTCTCACATATGTATGAAAGAATCAAAGCAACACTCCAGGTTTGTTTTTGACGAGGGAATAACATTAAATGATGTAAAGTTCAAAAAGGTTGAATTTACCTAATGCTGCCCCTGTAATAATATCTTACCCCAATCTTCTGAACGGACTTCATTGATTCCTTCTTGACTAGTTTGATATAGAGCGCTGAGGGCAGAATGAAGATCAACATTACAGCAGAAGAGGCACCTGGGAAAGAGGAAAAATGGCAAAATTGATCCCAAAAAGTCAATAATGAATTGTTAGACAGATGTTGAGAACATGTGGAGTTACAAACCACATAAGCCAAAAATATATCTGATGCTGGGGACAAAGATGACCAGAATGCTGGTTCCTGCTAACAGGGTCAGGGTGGTGATAGCGTGACGGATCCAGCTGAAGTCTTTTCCTGGGAACAGCAGGTGGCCGACTGAGGTATGAATCTGTTCAGAACCAAAGATTAGGTCATTGGACTTTGTAGACCAAATAACTAATGGTGGACCTTCGATACTTACAGGGAAGAGGACCACAGGAACTGTGAGTGTGACAGCGGCCAGCACAGCCAGGCGAACAACCAGCAGGAAAATATCATCCCTGTAGTACCTTGAGTAGGTGTGGAGCAGCTCAGGTCCCACATGGACTGAACAGAAATATGACAGAGATCACTCTAGTTACATTCAACACCAATCATATGTAATTATCAAACATAAGCATGCTAACACTTTGGACTAAGATGACCCTGATATGGCTGACAAACTAAGATCAGTCGTATGCATCTTGATGTTTTAGCTCATGCAAGGGGTAGGTTTAAATGTTGATTCTCCAGGAAGGGGCAAGACTCACTAAGTGCATCACTGTTGCTATCTCCACCGCTTGAAGGAAGATGGAAATCACAACCGTGAGCAACCTGTCCAGACCAACCATTAACTGAGAGCGGACCCACTCAGAAAGCCTCCAGATAATTGACTAGGATGGGACAATGAAGAAATCATCCATTGCTTCATTTGTTGTGCTTAAACTGTTTGAGTTGGATAGTAGATAATCGAAGAAAAGCTGTTTCTTTTGCTTTGCGTCACTGTGTTACACCATTAGTAATGGTGAGAACTCACAAACACCACATGGCCTCTGGCAACATGAGCTTATTCTGACTTTGTCTGTGTTGGTGTTTACTTCAGTCCAGTGGTGGGAAGTAACAAAGTACAAGTACAAGTACTTCGTTACTGTACTTAAGTACAATTTTCGTGCATCTGTACTTAAGTAGATTTAATAATGGGTACTTTCTACTTTTACTCCACTACATTTTACAGTAAGTATCTGTACTTTCTACTTCACTACATTTCTACTAAAATCCAAGCAAAAACGTGACTTAGTGTCTGTTGTCACCCATCGCCTCCACCTTTACTCCCACGCGGAGTTCCAGACATGCGCAGTGGTTTCCTCTGAGCGGGAGAAGATGTCTGTCTAGTCGTCAGTAATATAATAGCGCTGCATAAATCATAAGATATGGCGACATGTAAAATCAGCAGCGCTTCGCTTTCACAGACGGTGGAGACTTCGTCCAACTTTTAGCGTCACTTGGAAGGAAAGCTTAAAGAAAGGTAAGATCCGTGGACATGATGCTAGCAAAGCTAGCTGTACAGAGACACATATGTTGCATCTGCAATGAAAAAAAGTTGTCACTCATGCGCTGAATTATTGTGTGGAGGTGTTGACTGAGGTATCGCATATATGGGACAACGTTGTGACCAAAGTCTGCATTGATATGACATTCAGGAACGATCCGATTCTTCTGGATGGATCTTTACTAAGGCTGATAGGACTGAAGCCTCACTGAGAGACGTTCTGTGTTCTTGTGATGCTCTGCGTACACTGCAGTAGCTATTTTATTTAATAAAAAATATATATACATAATTGGCGAATAAATAAGTCATGAACATAAGAATACAAAGCATGCTCATGCTCTTTGTCTTCGTCTCCTGTCATGGCGGAAGACGTTGCAGCAGGAGGGAGGATGAAAACAGTCACCTCCTTCGGCTTGGTTACTTCTTGCGTGTTGCGCCTTGGACAGTGTTCATAGTTTAACGTTGTTTACCATTAATTGCTATGTTTAATGGTGCAGGCAGTTGTGGTTTCTGACATTGGCAATATGGGCAATCGCCCAGAGTGTTATTTTTTTAGGGACAGCAGGAGACCTCTGTGGATTGTGGCACAGAGATGAAAGCAAAACAGAATGAAGAAGAGTTTGAATTAATACCAGTTCAATTTATTTCAGCTCTAAGTATTTAATATCTGGGTATTTTTATGGGAATGTGGATCTATCAGATCAATTTGAGAATCAATTTTGATAGGTGCACTTAATTTTATTGTGTCATGTAGCGAGAGGTCTCGGGTTCGGTGGTCTAGACTACAACTCTGCTACATGGCTCCTTGGTTCCATGTCGTCCCCTTCCCACCCTTTCAGTTGGATTTCTTTAAAAATAAAAGCCATTAGTGGCAAAAAAAAAAAGTGAAGTTCATGCTATGTTAGGACAGGAGATGAGATGTTTCCATCCCTGAAGTGATGATGCATAGAATCACATATTTAAGTCTAAACTATGTTACAGAGTAAACACAATAATCTTTATCTCTGGCATTGTTCATTAAAATGGCACATTTCTGATGTATTAAAATTAAATACGATCGGTTCACTTAATGATATTGTATTAGCGATTAGGTAATGCATTCAGCAAGTACTTTTACTTTTAATACTTAAGTATTTTTAAAAGCCAGTACTTTTTTACTTTTACTTAAGTAAATTTTTTGAGTACTTTCTCCACCACTGCTTGAGTCTTACTTGTCTAGAAGTACACACAGAAGTAAAACTTCCAGAGATAAGCTAGCTTCTGGCTACTTGGTCCCATCTAAATCTATCCAGAGCTTTGCTTGCTGAACATTTCACTCCATTTGTTATACTATCTTCCAATTAGCCTACTGTTACGCCACACACACACACACACACACACACACACACACACACACACACACACACAAACATTCATACGCATTCATACCCGTTTTCATTTACACATGGTAACTTGAGGGCACTGAAAGGCTGACAGGATTAGGTTCCCTTTTGTCTGGGGTGTTAATACCAGCTGCAGCCATTGTTCTTTGTTAACTTGACACTTATTTCAATAACTATAGAGCTTGTTGAGGATGAAGTGGAAAGGAAATTTCCACTTCATCAACCCCAATCACTATGACAGCAACCATCGGCTGTCTGACACCTTTTTGCTACTACAGCATAAAAAATGTAAGCAGTTTTGAAGGTAAAAGGGGTTCAAGTCTAGGATTAACAAGGTGTACTATAGCTTTAAAATCTTGCCCAACTTACTGTTGAAGGTGAGGTATCCAAAGAGGGCGGCCAGCAGGTACATGATGAACATGGCCAGGAAGGAAACGTTGGCCACATTCTGCATCTTTCGGCGTGAGCGGCTGTTCAGGGAAGGAGAGTTTTATTTACCAGACCAAACTTTAAAGAAATATAACATTGGTTTAGTTTAAACTTTATAGGACTTTGAGTTAAATCCATGCAGCAGCACTTACTCTTTGAGCTCATCATACATGGGTAGGATAGTAGGATGGCACATGAAGGCAAAAGTGATGATGGGTACAGCATAGACAGTCTGGAGAGATGGAAAAATACAAAGATTAGAAGTTATTCTATGAGTGTTATTGAAAATATTCAAACCTGTTTAATCTGTGAGAGATTTATTTACCTGTGAGTTAAAGACAAAGTATTTAGGCTTGCAAGTGTCATCATCTATAGTGACGTTGTCGCTGTGGGGGGTGATGTTGAACATATTCATGGTTTCATTTCCCGTGTCAGGAAGAGGTAGAGGGCATGGGATCTGGAACTTCTTTATGATCACCTGGAGGAATATATAGAAAAAATATATTTTTGGGTGGTACTATATTGTTTGTAATATATAGACTTTTAAGATTTTAAAGGAACGATTAAATCTAGTCACTAAAGGAGGAATAAGGAAACAAGGTGGGGTTGTACTCACCACAATCAGAAAAAACACCATGCAGAGCAGAGAGAGACCACTGGTGTAACCAAGGTAACCTAAGGGAGACAGACAAAATGTTATTTCTGCTTTAAAGCTGCCACTTCTACTTTT